CAGGGAGCCCCCATTCAGTTGGCTGGAGGCTAGCTTTCAGCTGGAATCCCCATGCCTCCCCGCGCCCAGCAGGCTCACCCACGCCCAGGGACGGGGTAGGGTGTGGCCTCCCAGACCTGCGGGTAGCAGCACAGGCCCCAGGTGGCCCCTGTGTCCCTCTGGGAGCTCATGTTGTCTCACGGCCACAGCCCCAGGGCCTCCTTTGTCAGCCTCCAATGCTACCTGGGCCCTGGAGAGCCCCACCCCACACTGGAGGCTCTGCCTCCCCTCCCCAGTCCAGGCCTGGGGACCTGTCATCTGTGTGCTTTTCTCCCCATGGACTCTTAGTGCCTCGAGCAGTGTGAGATTCCCATGCCTCCCGTTCCCAGGCAGTGGCCTTGCCGTCCGTGCTTGTGGTTGGCCACGTCTTCCCAAAGGCTCCAGGGACAGCTTCCTGACCATCAGCCTTCCCTCTAGGGACCCAGCTTTTTTTCTGTGGGGTGGGGGACATGAAAGTGGCCACCCTGAATACAAAGCTGCAGAAGTGTCCAGGAGAGCATGTGAGGGGTCTCCAGAGACGCTGCCTGAGGGTGCTGGTCCACCCATGATTCAATCCTAGCCTGTCACTTGCTGTGTGACCTTGGGCATAAGAGAAATGTCTCTGAGTTTGAAGTTCCCTCATCTGTAAGAACAGATATGATCCAGTCCTTCAGGGAGCACATGGGGATGAGGAGCTTGCACGTGGGCACACGGGGATCCTGCAGCCTGACCATGAGGGACTGTTGAGGCTCAGCACCTCAATTCCACAAGCCGGGCCATGGCAAGGCCTCCATGGCCATCTCGGGCCTGTCTCACTTGTTTCTGAAGTCTGCAGCTCAGACCAGCCGAGGGGCCTCGCGTTCACCACTGCTTAGGAATGACGGGTGCCCCCCTTCCTCAGATGGAGACACCAAGGCTCAGAGAGGGGACCCAAAACTTGGGAACCATAGCCTCCAAAAGACCAGGCCATACGTGCTAAACCTAAACAGGATGACAGCCCGCCCAAATAGAGGATTTAACACTTCACAAGATGAGTCTCTGAACATAATGTCCAAAATGCGCAGATACTGCAAATTACCCATCACACCAAGAACCCTGAAGGTAAATGAGGTGAGTGACAGCCAACAGATACTAACCCTGAGAAGAGCTGATGGTGGAATGGTCTGACAAGGATTTTAAGGCATCCGTCATTACAAAATGCTTCAACAAGCAATTACAAATAGTTTAGAAACGGTGGCTGGTAAGGGGGCCTGAGGACTCGAGGAAAAACACAGCCACCCTGCATCTCCTACCCAGCAGCAGCAGGTGACCCCGGCTGAAGTCTAGAACACGCGATTACAGGTGACCCCGGCTGGAGTCTAGAACA